TTTTTACGTTTTCGGTTCTAATAAATTTTTTCCATTTTCGGTTTCGAGGCTAACATCTAAACGTAATTTCAAATATTATTATAACATTAAACTGAGAATTAAATTTCCAATCTAAAAATGCTTAGATTTATTTTTTTATGTTTCCGGTTCGAAAAATCTTTTTGTCGCGAATGATTTAAAATTTATATATATTATATTTTATTATAATATAAACTCGTAAATAAATACGCCTAAGCATTTTTAGATTGAAAATTTAATTCTAAGTTCTGGGGAATTCTGTCTATTGGGTTCATTTCTAACTTTTTCCTGCTCTATCTCATTGGTTTAATGCATCTAGATATTCCCGAATCACTCATTTTGAGATCAGGTGGTAAAGTTTCCACTATATTTTTTATCGTAAATCCATTTTGATGTTCTAGTAGCGGTATAATTTTAGATTTAAATTTGGATCATTCTTTTTATTCCTTCCCCTTTGATTGATGTATTCCCAAGAGGTCATCGTAGTATTCAGTGAATCGATATACCGAGAAAATAGATAAATTGAGGTCTTGCGCTATTGTTTTTATACTTGCTTGTTCATGTATAGGCTTTTAGAAATGTAAGACAGGGGAAATTTCCCGAGAAATATGGAATACTTCCCCGGGAAATATAAGAAACCGAAATTTTCCCTATAGTTTCCCCAATTTTTATAATACCTTTTTTTTTGCTTAAATCAACATGATTTTTACAATATTAACGTTTTCCCAATTTTAAAAATGGTCTTATGATAAAATATACGATTTTTATTATATTTTTTATTTTTCTTCAGGTTCATATCATAAGTTATAATTGTGTTTTGTTTTCGAATATATATTAATTTCCTTATCACCAAAGATGGGAATTTCAAAAATCCACCATAATAACTGACAATGCAAGCAATATTAAAAAAGCATGGACCCTTGTAAAATAAAACATCCAACTATTGAATAAATTGGATGTGCCGCTCATGGATTAAATTTACTTCTAAAGGACATAGCAAATAAGATATTATCGATTCAAATTTTAGACATAAAAGCTAAAAATATCATCATATATATAAAATCTAACAATATTCTTTTATCAACCTTAAAAGAAAACAAGAAATAATAAAAATTGTTTTCCTAAAGTTGTCGCCTAACTCTTTGGGCAGGTATAGTTTTGATAGCTTGTTAAAAAAATAAAGATATTCTACAGGAAATTTCTTGATATATTTACTGATCGGGGTAAGATACTTACTCTTCTCGATCGATGGGGGTTTAAATGATCTTATGCCAGTATACAATTTTATAAAAGTCATATTTGTACAAATACAGATAGTATAAGGAGATAAAGCTAATTTATCAGATGCCCCTCAAGCATTTATTCATATCAGAAGAAGACATTTAGTGATTATAAAACAATATCAAATCTATTGTTACAGAGTGAGATTTCAGAAATTGAGCAGTTTATTAAAAGCCGAAAAAAATTTTGTTACCGGGACATACATTATGCTGCTCATATATTTGACCAAGGTTTTGCGTTACAAAAGGGTTTGATATCATTAACCGATTTTCTGGATATCTAGATTTAGATATTGCGAGAGTAATGGGAAACCTATCCAGATATCGTGCAAGGGAAGATTTTTTTAATATGGCAAGTCTTTGGCAAGATGCATCATTTTCAGATCCAGTGACTTGGGTGGAAAATTTAAATACTTTTTATTTTAGTAAATAATAACCTAACTCTTTTTCTCATTTTAAAAATATGGTCCTCGTTTGGAAATATTCATTCGAAATCTAGAAATAGAATAAAAAATATAAGGCCCGAAAATTAATTTTTATAAGAGTCAATCTCCATTTTATGGGAAAAGAAATTTCTGCAAATGATAAATTGCTGGATTCTAGAATTTCAAGCTCTGATCTGGAATCATTTTCTTCTTCAAACGAAGATAACTAAAATATTAATCAAAATTAAATAATATTTGTTTAAATATTGTTTATAATCTATGTATCTCAAATGAAACATGTAAAGAAATCACAAATTAATAGAAATTAAATCATATCTATTTAATTATAATGTTTATAATTTATATATTTTCAATAAAACATGAAAAAAAATCAATACTGACCTGCAAAGTATTACAAAAAGATAGTTTCCCGTTTTTTCCCCAAATTTCCCGGGAAATTTCCCCGAAATATAGTTTCCCGGGAAATTTACATCCCACTGAGCCATTTTTTGGCGATGGCGATATTTTTCCTGACTCCAATTGCCATATTTCTTTAAAATAGCTGAGCGTGATGTTACAAACCTGTAGATGTAGAAAAATCTAAGATACGGGAGATAGTGAAATTATTCATTGTAAATAAGCAGGGTTGTGCATTTGACCGGTCAAATACGTTTCGGTCAATTGACCGATATTTGACCGGTCAAATACGGTCAAATGTGGTCAAATTCAAATATATTTTTTTAAAGTTAATATTAACTTTATTTTGAATATAATAGTAAAATGAATCTATAATATTAATTTTTTAAATTCATTCAATAACTAACGTGTAGCTATCTGTATCAGAGTCTTGTTCTGATTCATATTCAATATTATCATTTTCTTTAATATTTTTTAAACAATTTTCCTGATATCTTAGATCTTAAATCGATTTCTATTTTCATAAGAATATTAACCCAAATCGACCTATTTCTTTCTAAAGAAGAAGTAGAACTAGGAATTGTTAGTCTCTTAATGGGCAGGTTAGACAAAGTTTAATCTATTAACTTGAGGTCGGAATTGATTGTTTCTGGAAATTACTACTTTCCACATATTTTGTTATATTAAACATGCTGTTTTTGCTTCTGAAATTAATTATATCACTTAAAATATTTTGGTCATCACTACCTTGTAAAATAGCTAATTCTTGAATTATATCACATACTTCATTAATTACACTACTAGTGAGTTCTCCTCTTGATATTGTGGACCCGAAAAATAAGCAAACATTGTGATCACATGTATTTACATCTTTTTTCCCTTTTTTAAACATATTTTTAATTTATCCTTTAAATTTTTTAGAGTATTTGACAGGTCAAATACTCCTCCGGTCAATTGACCGGTCAATTGACTGAATTTGACTGGTCAATTGACCGACTTGCCAACCCTGTAAATAAGTTTAGAAAAGTTTTAGGAAAAAAAAATTGTTTTGTATTTTTTTATAGGTTTAAATTCTTTCAATAAATTGCAAATGTGTTTTTTAATTATTTTTGCAACCAGAATACTTTTATCTGGGTGGGTTTTAATATAATCGTCAACATGTTTCATAAAATCATCACACTACTGTATATTAATGGATCGTCTCGTCGTCATTTATTTTATAAGTAATATGCAAGAATATAAACACACATTAATTTATTATTTTAAATGTTTTATTACTATACTTAGTGTTGTTAAACGGCTCGTTTTGAGCTGATTTTTAAAACGGCTAACTCAATATTTCACCCAGAATAAAATTACGCAAGCTGAAGATTTTGATTGTAGAAAGAACAAAGGTTTGGACATCTATTAGCTAAATCTCGTGGCTTAGGCAATATTTTTCTGGCTAAAATATTGAGTTAGCCGTTTTCAAAAATCGAAACGAGTCATTTAACAACACCACTATATATTATAATGTAATGTTATTAATAAAAAGCAATAAAAAATTTATTTTTCTCATTAATCATTTTCTTTGTTATTTTTATTCACTTAGTTAAATAGCTTTATTTAGTAGGTTTGTATTTATTGAAATATTATCATCTCCATAATCATGCCAAATAATATATGATATAATTTTTTTAAAATATCAAATGAGTAATGTTATTTAAAATTATAAATAAATATTAGGTAGTAGTCAGTCAGCATTTATGATACTTTAAAATAGCGCGATATTGCTTCCCATCCAGCATAGCTATGAGGGATGCCAAAACAGGTCCGTAACCAGGAATTAGGAATTTTCAGTTTGGGAGGAGGCAAATGTTTATTTGGGAGGCCCAATATTTTTTGAAATAAAACAAATAGGCCTTCAGGAATTTTTTTGCTAGATGACGATTTTGATTTTTAAATTTTAACATAAATTTTGTTTAAATATTACTTTAATAATTGACATATATTAGTCTAATTAACGTTTAGATATCATGGCGTGATTAGTAGTTTGCTTCTTTAATTTATCTTAATTGTTTAATTAATTAAATCTCTTTAACATTGACTAATTTACCATCAAGAAGAGGTTGAGAAGAATCATCATAGGAACTGACGAATTCACCAACAGTGTTTTTTTTGCCGAGGAACAAAAAAGGTGGATATCATATGTTGTTTTTCCATTTAATGGTTAATGATAAGATATTTTATAATTAAAATTTTTCTAAGAATTTTGTTTTTTCATTTATATTTAAAAATTAATAGAGAATTAATTTGGGGGCCGTAAATTTTTTTTTAAGGAGGGGGCTGCCCCTTCCCACTCTTTATGAGTCTGTGCCAAAATGTAGGAAATACATGGAGAGCTATATCGCGCTATTTTAGAGTTTATAGATTAATATAAATGCGGCATAGCATAACACATTAAAAATTGAACAATCACAAAAAATTTTTATAACAAGTGGTGAAGATAAAATAGTAGTTAGATAGAAATTAGAGATCTGCATCGGGCCTAATATTTCAAACCAGACCCGATATTTTTAAAATGATTTGTCCGACCCGATCCCAAACAAATTTTTTTTTTATTTGCCCTGAAAAACCCGACCATTTAAATTAAAAAAAAATTCTACAAATAAAAAATATTTGCCCATTGTTTCTTGCAAGAATTATATCAATGTATTTCACAAAATTGAATATCATATTTAAAAATTTATGTCTGTCCCGGCTCAGTTATAACCTAAATTATTTTTCGGTCCGGGCACGTCGGGATTTGCAGTTTATTAGAAATATACCGATTTATTATTATTATTAATATGTTTGATGCTTTTATATCTAAAATCAAGGGATGGCAGAAATAGGAAAATTGAGAGTTTTGCCGTTCGTGGCTAATAGCGGGGGATTACCGGCGAATGAAACAACTTTCGTTAAAATGTTAAAGGAATTTGGATATTCAACCGCATTAATTGGTAAATTTTTTAAAATGAAAATAATGATATTAAATTAAAGTGAAAGCTTTTTATGATTATAATACATTAGGGTGCAAGTGTCTACGAAGGGTCAAAATTTTAGTTCGTATTGATTTTTTTTCCCCATTTTTAAGTACAACCCAGAAAATCATTTTAAGGCGGATCTTTATTTCTAATATTTCATTATTTTAAATAATAAAGAAATTTGAAAAAACGAATGAGTTTTATATGAATACGGTTACATATATATGAGACCCACAGAGGTGCCATTTGCACAGCGTAGCCTGAATTTTTAAAATTTATTACATTTATTTTTAATTTTTATAGCTAATAATAGCGATTAAAATAGTCTTTTAATAGGGAAATTTTAGGCCCCGGCCTATGTATTTAAAAAAAATTTAACTCTGAGTATAATTGATTAAATTAATTTAAATGATTAAAATATTATAGCTGCAGAAATCAAATTGATATACTCCACCTTAATTAAAATTATTAACGAGGTGTGTTTCTTTTATAAAATGTATGCAATATACACAAAATTGCAAAAGAACTTTAAAATCATCCATCGTTGAAGAAACTGATATATCGAAATTCACTTAGTTCCAAGTAAAGAAAATACTATCTTTAGAACAACGTATTATTCAATCAAGGCCCAATATCTTTTCCATCAGAAAATGAAAAAATTATAAATTTGTAAAAAGAAAAAATAATTTAAATACTACTGCTCATAATGGTGCTTACTTATTAGATCCCAAATATTAAGGACACCATCTGCATACGATATGATATAATATGATAAAAGAACTAGAATTCTGCAAGGTAATGTTAATCAAACCATCTTAGGATGGAAGTACACCGTCAAAAATGGAAATATTGAATAACTTACTTTATACTCAAATACTATGGATGGAAATAAGTATTATAATGTAAGGTGTCTGCCTGAGTACTTCCCTTGCCTGAGAGTGGTACACTCCATTAGGAAAATTGATATTTGAAAAGAATATTCGTCCTTTTTATAAAAATCTTTTACCTCTTTAAGATTTTGATATATTATTTTAGTATTATATGTGTATTGATCTATAATTAAAGTTTAAGTATGATCGCGTGATAGGAAGAATAGTTTGCCATTTTTAATATCTTAAACTTCATTATAGGTATTTTTCTTAATCATAAATAATACATAAAATAAATATTATTTTTAATAATAAAAAATATTTATCATTTTATTCGGCGGCGGCATATTGAGCGCCAACACATAAAATAAATATTATTTTTGATAATAAAAAATATTTATCGCTCCGCACACCTCCGAATTTTTCCATCGGCGGCGGCCTGTTGAACACTTTTTGTCGGAGGCGTCGGCATAATCAAAAATAAGACGGCGTATTAAAACTACGGTGCACAGATTTATATATAATTAATAAGAGACTTTTGGACGTCCTCAGCACCTTAAACCATGCTGAAGAGTGTTAAAGTTGAGATCGCGATGAAAAGTATTAGCGCGAATGCCTGTAAATAGGGTTGGTTAGCTTCTTAACCATATCATACAAACGATAATACTTAGCTCCTCAAAACGGATCTTCTGATTTCGATAAACTTTACAAAGTCCGCCAATTTATGAATATGAAAGAATTTAGTAGGGAATTAATATCTGGTATGCTGGCAAAAAGAATACTTTATACGATCAGCCTCCAGCAGAGCCCAGCCATGCAATAATAAAAAGAAAGTGTCCATAAATTAGAAGATGTTTTACCTCACATTTACCCATAAGAGGAGAAGATATGCTCATTGTTCAACAGTTATTGATACTGCGTTCAGATTGGATATGCTCGACGTGCTGCTATATCTTTCGAAAAAACTAAATTGTTTTAAACCTTATTACGTAATAAATCATGAATATGTTTACATATGAGATTTTTAACGATGTATTATCATTATTTTCAATGAAAATTTTTACCTATGCGAAATCGAACTTTGTGCTCATAAATTTATGTGCATTGAAGTGTTAACTAATTAAATTTTTAATAAACTAGCTTTTACCAATACTAGAATATTTGAAAGCGTTCAAATTTCTTAGTTCCTATATCACAATTCAACAGAAGATAGCTTTATAACAATAAATATTTTTCAAAATTGGTGTCCAAACACGACGATTAAATTAATCGGCAAATAGCCAAAATTCGTGAAAAGATAAGAATAATTCTTTAAGTTATCTGACTGACCTCTCTACAACTATAATGATAATTTTTGTTTTAGAAATATTAATCATAATTCCGTTCGCATTATAAATTAATATCTTATTATATATGCTTAATTATACATAAATTTGATTTAAATCCATCATAAATCTTCTGATTTAAAAAAAATAATTTATTGTTAGATTTGAGAAAGGTCATTGGAATAATCTAATTTAATTTTTTAAGATGCGAAAAGTTTTATATCTTGCTCGAATATATAAATAACAAGTACAAAGGATCTTCTTTTAAATTTTATTTTAATTGATGTATCTCATTCAAATCGGAAATACATAGAAAACCACTATAAAGTATGATTATTCAAAGGCGGAATTTTCTTGCAGCGATAGCTAGTATTGCGTTTTTTTGAAAAATGGCATTAATAGTAGTACGCTACTACTTTGATATTAATATAATAAATAATACTATATACAATAAATTAAATTAAATTTCGGAATATAAAATTCTATATCGAGATCGTGGTCTGAACTGGCCTGTGATGTTCTTTCTCTTTCTTTTCACTTACCCATAAATTTTTTAAAACGGGCCTATCCTGCTCTGCCCGAAAAAATATTTTACATTTATTGCCTGGTCGCACAGATCTCTAGCTCAATCATAATATATAGATCAAGATATCTAATTCATTAAAAATTTTGATTTTTTTTAAAATATACTTATTTGTTTCAAATATATAAAAAAATATAACGTTAAAATACTAAAATATAGTTAGAATGTAAAAGATGGTATGGATATATGATGAAACAAATTTAAGAGTTTAAAAATGATGGATAAATGGAAATGAGTCAAATGAAAGCTTCAGCTTATAAAGTGAAAGCCAATATCGCAAAATATAAATAATGAGATGGATTGTATGAGAAATATAAAATGGAAAGAGATACTGAAGGAGTTTATTACCGGAACAGATGAATGCTAAAATAGAAAAAAAAATACTAAATTATAATTATGCCTAATAAAGAGAGTATTCAAAAAAATATTCTATCCACCTTCAGTCGAATTCTAGCCAATAAAAGACCAGATGGTGTCACTCTTACGCCTTGGTCGAAAGGGCAATTTTGGTATGGGATTATACCTGTATAGATGCGTTTGCAAAATCTAATGCACAATACGCATCCGCTGCCACCGAATTATCTATACGTAAAAAATATTCGCAATTAGAACATTTAGATTTTCTACTCTTTGTTACAACCACATTATCGAACTTCGGCGTAGATGCAATTCTATTTTTAAAACTTTATATAAAAAGTTAACAACAATCACTAAAGATCTTAAAGAAAATTTCAGACAAAGAATATCTCTTGAGATATATAGATCTAATTTTATTTCCATCCTCGGCCCATGCCTGACAAAATCATCGATTTTTAAAAAAAAATAATGTAAATTTTTTAAACGTTTTGAATATTTGAAATTGAAAATTTAAATTAATAAAATATAATAAAAGAAATTAGTCAAAAGAATTTTACAAAATAAATGTAAATTTATAAAAAAAGAAGTATAATTCCTCATCATATGGCAATGATCACTAATCTTTGAATAATTTAAAATTAAAACACTGCGTTGCTTAATTTTGTTTAATTTTAAATAATCTTGAGAATTTGGATCGACTTATAAGTTTGAATAGAGATTTGGCCACTTTTCCGAAAAAACAGGAAGTTGATTTAATTAATGGAATGAATATGTGAGAATGTAGGCTTTTCTTACTCTCAGCAATTCCAATGGAGCATAATTTCTATGAGAGGGGAAATCAGGTAAAATCCTAGTACATATGCTTGCCTTTGTTTTATGGGATCAATGTACATCCTTCTGATTGAAAAATCTCTCAGGGCGAGTACATGATGTTTAAGAAATCTATATTAATAGAACATATAACAGTAGTTTGAATTTTAAAAATGCTCTCTTATAAAGTTGGAATGGATGTGTAAGATCTAATGCGCTATACTTATACATTAAAATTATTATATAAAAATTATCTGAGCATTTTCAATTTATTTAGAACTTTATATGTAAATACTGACCTAAAGAGGTCTATATAAGGAGAGGTAAGATGTGAACTTTTATATGTTTCACTTTAGTATTGGCACGATGGTAATTTTTTTAACAAATTTTATTCTTATATAAACAGCTTTATCAAAAAAAACCTCTTTGAATGGCTTTTGAAAATATCTGATTAAGAAATCCAATAATTTTTATAGATGTTTTGTGTGTCTATTATTTTGAGGATGTTTTTAATCATTATCAGATAAATTTTTCTTAATCGTAAACATTTTCTTAATAAATGTAATAAATATATCTAGATACACTTGATTTGAGAAAAGTCAAAGAAAGAATTAATAAAGTTAAACTTAATATAATATAAATAAAGAAATATTAAAAAGTTATATATTTAAATAATATTTTTAATAATATATTCATTTCACGGTTGGTAGATATTGAGCAAATATATTATTTTTTTCTATTATCCAATTCCCGGCACGACTATTTTACTGCCAACCTCTTGGGAGAAGATAGGGTCAGGATTATGCCATAGAGATAAAAAAAATAGCTCAATAGCTACCCTCTTAACTAATATAAAAAAAAAGAAGAAAAAAGTGGTTCCCTCCAGAAACCCTTAAATTTTAAGCAATTATAATATCCTTACTAAGATCTCTTCCTTCTTTGTGCTTTTTTCTTTTTGACTTAAACTTTTAATTATGTAAAAGGCATATTGTAAACTCGAATATTTGTTACCTTTTGATATTTATGCCTGAAGAGTTGTTGCACTGGGCATGTTAGATTTTAAGGAAAAGTCGATTTGACAAATTAATTTTTATTTTATCTTTTTCTTGTCCTTATTTTTTAAAAAAAATTAGATTTCTCGTTCCCATTTTTTATCAATTTCCACCTTATTTCCCTTTTCATATTAAAACATTTACTGCCCTCATACCTTACAAGGAAAATGGCATTTGGGCGTCAACTGTCGCGTGTACAACGATAATTGTCATCATCCGATGACTCACGGCTTCGATCATTTCTACGGTCTGCCGCTGACAAACCTTAAAGATTTTGGCAATGACGGAGCCAGCGTATTCATGTCAAACAATCCCCGTATCAAGACGGGCCTGACCTCTGCAATATTCACTCTGACACTGTCAGCTATCTTTATTTCACGTTATTACACAACTAAGAGACCCATATTTACCTGTTTAGCTTCCCTGCTTTTCACGGCCGTTCCGCTAACCTTGTTTTACGTGTTCATAACTAACATCAAACTCCTCAACAGCGTTCTAATGCTGAATACGCGGGTGGTCGAACAACCCATTTCGTTTGACGATAATCTCTCGCAAAGGCTGCTAGATAGGGGAGTCAATTTTTTACGGAAGACGAGTCGTTTCGTTAACAGGTTGGTTTACTTTATTGAAAATAATATTGGCTAATATTTTTTAATGTTTCTTTTGTTAACTCGTAACATTCCCAACCAAGTCTAACCTTTTGCCATTTTTTAAGTATGCTGGTGGATTGAATCTCTCACACTTTTTTAAAAAGTTTTTACACTGAGCCCGGTGGCAATAGGTTAATTGCTATTCATAGTTTTTTTTATGTATAGCATCTGTTACTCATTCATTTATTGATTTATAATTTATCCTTCGACCTGTGTTCATGAAGGACTTGATTTTTTTTATGAAGTTAACTAGGTAACGTTTAATTTATATTCGAAAGCAACAAAAGAGTTAACTAAGATCTTAAAAATGCTAAATATATTTTTAAAACTAGGGTAGACAATTAAAATCTATTTGATTTAAATCGCGGTTTAAATTATCCCGATTTTTTTAAAAAAATCAGTGATTTAAATCAAAATTTAAAATTAAATTCTAATTATTAAATTAAATCAAACTACTTAATATAAAGAAAGACAAATACTTAGATTATTTTATAATTAAATAATTTTATGAAAAATACTAAATTGTGCTATTACTTATTAGATTTTAAAAAATATTTGATTTGTATTTTATTGTTACAATTTGACAATTAATTATTAATTGTATAGTTATTATCTCAATGTAGTGAGGAATTATTTAATATTCTAAAAAAAATAATTAGCTTGTTAAATTCAGAGCTGTGAACACGTCTTCTAAAAAAGGGTTTCGGTTATTGAAATATAAAATTTAGTAAAAATAAAAGAAACATCAGTATTTTTAAAATTTATTTTACTATATTTAGCATTTACCATATGATTTAATTATTATAATTAGAATAATGCAATACAATTTAAAAAATTATGAAATTTTATAAGCGAATTATCATGATATCTTCCAAAATTTAGATGTTAAAATTAAAAGTCGATTTATTAAGCCTATCTTTTACTGTGCATTGCAACTTTTCATGTACTCGACATTGGTATTTGAATTTAATTGTTAAAATGAAAACTAATTTTCCTAAATGTTTTTTAAGTTTGGAATACACATATGATGAAAATACTCTACCGAAGATGTTGATTGTTTTACTATGAAAAACTGAGCAGTTATCATATTTCATATAAGTAAAATATGATTACAATCAAACTTTAATAACAAAAAAAAATTCGAAATTAACTTTGACAGCTCTTACAGCTTGGGTCCCGAACGTCCGTTTCTCCTTTTCTTTTCATTCCTACAAGTGCACACGGTTCTTCATACGGCTCCACGCTTCTCCGGTGCTTCTCAACACGGTCGTTATGGCGATAATATTCACGAGATGGATTGGATGGTTTATTTTTACCCTTTTAATATCATTTCCTTTCTTTTATTGATTTTTTTTTAAAATTTTTTATTACTTTCGGTTATTAAGCAATTTTCGTTGAAAATTATTTACAAATTTCAATTACAATGGCTATATTTTTTTAATGTACCTTAAAAATTATATATATTTTTTAATTATCTTTAAGATTTGCTTTGTCTAGTTGGTCGGTTCGGTTAGATTTGGTGCTAATTTTTAAAGGCCAAACCGAACCATATATCAATAAAAACTGAATCGTAGATCAGGTATAAACACCAAATAGTGGTCTGAATTGATTTTTATTTTGAGTTTAAATTACCTATATAAAAGAAAATATTATATTATGATATTGAAAAAGTCATTTGCAAATATCGAAATTAAAAAATATAACTAATTACAAAAACAGAACAAAAAATTTATATTATAATAAAATCAGTTTCATCAAGATTAGCAAAAAATTAGATATTGCATTTTTAGCTTAATATTTATTTTATTTGTTACTAAGCCACCTGCTTTGTTAAATTTCTCAAAAATAATTAATTTTTTGAATGGCCACAAAATCTCCAGGTAGTAGAGATCGACAAGTGAACCTATTAATATGCAAAAACGGGTATATTTTTTTTTCAATTAGTTCAAAAGTGGCTTCCCTCATAAGTTATGAACTTAATTTAAATATTTTATTTTACATCAATATAAAATTTCATCGTAAATTTAACGTCGTTAATGCTAGTAAAATAATGTAACAATAAAACGAGGATTTAAAAGTCGAAATTAAATTAAATATAGAGGGTAGATGATGTTATTTTAATATTGTTTATATGCATCTAGAAATATACCGATATCTTTTATCGGATAAGACCGATTTTGTTTTTTTAATATAGGTTATCGGTCTATATTATTCCGATAAAATGGCTTCTTAATTTAAATTTATTAATATTTAATATGTAAGTCAAGAATATTCTTATATAAATTTTTTTAATCGTATCTTTTTATTTAAATTAGCATGTATATAAAACATATTAAAATAAAATTAAAAAGTTTTAAAAAAAAATTATGGATTTAATAATTGTGTTCCTAAAAGAAACAATAATTATATTTTAAAATTTCGATTATTTTTTGTCGATATAAACTAATTTTGCCACGAAGACCTTTTAAAAACTTAAATGTTATAAGCAATAACAGCTGTTCGTTGATGTGACTATTGGAATAAAAATTTGTTGAGATATTTTTTTTGCACCCTGGATAAGCGGATTGATATTAGTATTTGAAGGGAATGATGAGTCTCAGTATAATCTTAATGATTTACATTCGGGATGGTTGTCATACCATCAGATCTTATGCCTTTTACGTGTGATAAGCTGGTAGGTTCGATATAGTTAGGTATGTGAGCGGTTGGTATAAATTATTGATAACGTGATTTATGGGAGTGTGAAGTTGATGTCTATCTTGAATATACTTTTAAATTTTATTTTAGTGTTTTTTTTATACGTGCAATTTTTATAAATGATTCTTATATAATTGAATTGATTATTTAAAAAATAAAATTAATGCTTAAAAAATGATAAAATACATAATATATTTTCAGAATATTTATATTATAAATCGTAATAAATAATTTGCAATGTATATTGATCATGATTAGATGTCTACTTTCTAAACGATAGAAAGCTTTTGGAACAAAAAAATAATTACAACAATTTTTCCATATAAATAAATAATTAATCAATATTTATATTTTTTTTTTCTCTTTAGCTTTCACCTTTTCTGGTGGTAAGCTCCTTCAACATCTCTCTCCACTTTATGTTATTCGTACAATCTCTTTTATCTATTTTATACTTCTTTATATTGGCTCTAACTTTATGGCCCCATTGAAGTTTTGGCCTTCCTCTTTTACGTTTGCCCATCACTTCCAATCTTTCAACTTTATTTCCTATGTAGTTCATAGGCCTTCTCATTGTGTGTCCATACCACCTAAGTCTGTTTACCATTAACTTAGTCTTAATGGGCACTACCTTTAAACTATTTAGTATTCTTGTACTGCGCACCTTATCCTTTCTTGTTACCCCAGCAATCATCCTCAGCATTCTCATCTCCATAGTTTGTAGACTTCTCTCGTCTGATTCTTTGGTTGGCCATGTTTCCGAACTATATAGAATAGTTGGTTGTACTATGGAACTGTAAATTTTTCCCTTTAATTTGTGTGGGATTCTTTTGTCAAATAGCACTCCAGATAAAGATCTCCACTTTAACCACCCTTGATTAATCTTATTCTTTATCTCTTTTTCTATTGTGCCGTTTGTTTGTATAGTGGAGCCCAAATATTTGCAGCTTTCAATTGCGGATATCTGCCAATCATTTATATCAATACTCTCCGTTTCATCTCCTCCTATCACCATATACTCCGTCTTTTCTCTATTTACTTTTAATCCGTGCGTTTCTAGGATATTTATCCAATTCACTAACCTTTCTTTCATTTCATCCTTGGATTCGGCAAGTATCACAATATCATCTGCAAATATCATATTCCACGGGACTGTTTGAGGTATAGACTGTGCTAATACATCTATTACTGTAATGAAGAGAAGTGGGCTGAGAGCCGACCCTTGATGAACTCCTTCGGCTATTGTGAAGCCTGCTGAAGTACCTGTTGTGCTACGGACCATTGTTGTATGTCCCATATACATATCCTCTATTATTCTTATATATTTTTCGGGAACTTTTTTGTGGCGTAGCGCCCACCAGATAAGTTTTCTTGGGATTCTATCGAAGGCCTTTTCTAGATCGAGAAAGACCATGTGTAGCTTTTTGTTCTTTTCCCTGTATTTTTCACTCATTTGCCTAATTGCATGGATAGCATCGGTTGTTGATCTTCCAGGCATAAAGCCAAACTGTGTCTCTCCTATTTCGATTATATCTCTTAATCTTTTTTCTATTATTTTTTCGTATAGTTTTAGACAGTGTGACATTAGTTTTATGCCCCTGTAATTTTGACAATTGTGTGGATCCCCTTTATTTTTGAAGATAGGAACTAGATAGCTCTGCCTCCATTTTTGGGGGACCTCTTCATTTCCAAGTATTTTATTGTACAGATTTGTGAGGAGATGTATTCCATCATCTCCTAGTGCTTTAAGGCTTTCTATTGGAATATCGTCTGGACCCCTAGCTTTGTTGTTTTTCATATGCTTGAGGCATGTGATTATTTCTTGTTCTGGTATAGGTTGTACAAGGTTTTGACAAGGGGAGTGTTCGTCGAGATGCAATATGTGGGAATTAAAGTTGAGAAGCTCCTGAAAATATTCTTTCCATCTATTCATTATTTCTTTTTCCTTTATTATCAATTTCCCATCTTTATTTTTGATTACTTTCGGAGCTCCGTTTATATCCCTAGAGTTCTTTTCTCGCTGTTTGGCTAATCTGTATATTTTATTTTGCCCTTCTTTGGTATGTAGATCTTCGTACATGTCATCGTATGCCATAGATTTGGCCCTAGCCACCGCCTTTGTAGCTAATCTCTTGGATTTTTTGTATCTTGACTTGTCATCTGCATTTTTGGATTTGTACCATATTTTATAAAGGGCTTTTTTCTCCTGTATAGTGGTTTGTACCTCTTGATTCCACCACCATAGTTCTTTGTGTGATTTGTTGCCTCCTCTTGTCAAGCCTAGCGTCGATTTTGCAGTGTCTATTAATCTGGATGAAAGGTCTGTCCAGATTTTTTCACTGACTTGTGAGCAATTTATTGTTTCAATGTTTGCATTGATTGCAAAGGCATCTGTCATTGTTTTTAATTTGCCCCATTTGATGCATGGTTCCAGTTTTATCTTATTTTGAGTGGATTTATTTGAGATTTGTAAATCCATGATTAGTAGCTTGTGTTGGGCGGCGATATCTTCTCCTGGGATGACTTTGCAGTCTATTACATCTTTTAATCTTCTGCGAGAGATTAGCATGTAATCTATCTGTGTTTTCCTAGTACCACTTTCATATGTTATTAAATGACTGTCTTTTTTCCTATAGTAGGTGTTGGTTAAGGCAAGGTCGAAGGCTTGCGCAAATTTCAGTACGTGCTCTCCTTCATCATTTCTTTCTCCGTATCCAAAATCACCATGATGCCTTTTGTAGCTATCTCTTGCTTTCCCCACATGCGCATTAAAGTCACCACCAATTATGACTAAATTATTCATACGTTCAAAAAAAAAGGAACGCGTTCCCATTCGTTCAAAATATGAATAATTTTTTTAAAAAAATTTAATTTAATATATATTTTTTAACACGATATATTACCCATGTTTAAAATTAATTTTGTATTTGTTAAAAAATATTAATTTTTAATATATAAAAACTTTTATATATCATATAAAATTTAATATAATTATTTATAAAATATATAAATTTAAAATACTTTAAATAGTGTTCAAATATTAAAATATAAAACACTTGATAAAGGTAAATTTTAAATAATCACAATAAAATAAATAAATTCAAAAAATTATTAACTATTTTATATCTATGTATATAATATATAATAATTGTAGATTTTTACTCTATATTTAATCTATAATCATAATACTGTTATAAGCCTATGAAATACAACAATCTAAAATAAATTATTAAAGGATACTTATAGTTATATTATAAAAATAATAAATATTGCAATCAAGTATCTCTTTAAATTAAAACTTGAAGATTTTGAATCTGTTATTATACTTTGTTGGACACATTTTACATTTGATAAGGGTAGAATTAGTTTATTAAATATTTGATGTTATAAAATATTTATTATATTTAGGCTGATGATAAAATAATAACATCAATGCTTACGATAATCTAATATTCAGTTATTAAACTATACTAGGACAGTAATCGTGGCTGGTTAAACAAATTCAAAGATAAAGGAAACAGCTGATTAAAAATAACCTTTTTTATAAAAAATATTGGATCATTAAATTAAGATTTTCTAAAATTGAACGAAAACTATACATTTATAGTATAATTAACCAGGGTTGGCATGTCGGTCAATTGACCGGAGGAGTATTTGACTGGTCAAATACGGTCAAATACTCTAAAATATTAATGGCGAATAAATATTTTGATATAATTAACTAGTATGCATTAAAAGCATGTTTATCAATCTTATTATTTTTTTATTAAAATATAAATATGTAATTTTTCTAAATATAGTAATATTTTTAGTTATTTTTGTAATCATTGCCGTTTCTCGCCTTCTTTATTTTTTTCAATTCATTTTTCTTAAAAAAAATAAAAATACCCGATTTATTATAATCATAATATAATTTTTTCATTCTTATTTTTTAATAAATTTAAATTTTATTTAATATTTAGCCGAGTATAAATTATATTAATTCTCATTTGTTTTACTTACACTTGCTATATTTGGTTTTTAAAATTAATTTTCATTTTAATTGTTCTGGTCAGATTTACGGAATATTATTCAATTCTGGTAAAAAGTTTATTATATTATATTTATAATATTAAAAAATTATTGGAATAATTGGTCGATAATTATAAAATAGTTAAGATTGATTAACTTTACAATAATCAAAATCATTTTTTGTTAAATTTTAATATATTAGGGATTATGGTCAAACCAAAGCATCATGTTTGGAAACATTTTCAAGAAGTACGCGATGGTAAATCAGTTAAAGCGGTGTGCAAGTTTTGCAAGATGTCCTATATCACCCACGTTGATAGAATGGTCAAACATTTATTAAGCAGCTGTACTATGTGCCCTGTTATAATTAAGGAAAAATTATATTCAAATTCCAAAATATCAACCTCTACAAAAAATATCACAAATGTAATTTGTAATACTTCTAAGTCTAACTCTAATGAAGAATTGGGTTTAATTAGTGAGAATGATTATCAAATGAACAATATTTTGTCTTGTGACTCAGGAGAATTTGATTCCCTTATTTCTAATCAATCTACAAGCAAGGCGATTAAATATAAATCTCAATCTTGTATAACCGGTTTCATAGATAGAATTAATCCCAAAGAAAAAAATGAGCTGGATCAATTGTTTGCAAAGGCTGTATATGCGAGCAATTTACCTTTCCACATCACTGAAAATCCCTACATCCAAGAATTTTTTAAAAAAATACGTCCTATTTACACATTACCCAGGAGAAGGCAGCTGGCTGGATATCTTCTAGACAAAGCGTCAGGTGATATGGAGGTGAGAGTTGCAGATATAATAGATAAAGCTCCTTACTTATCAATTGTATCAGATGGCTGGAGCAACATTAGAAACGAGAGTATTATTAATTTTATGGTGATGACGCCTGTTCCAGTGTTCTACAAATTTCTAAATACTGAGGAAAATCGCCATACGGCAGATTATATTGCCCAGGAATTTAAAAATGTAATTCATGAATTGAATCCGGTAAAAGTATATTCTTTAGTTACTGATAATGCCGCTAACATGAAAGCAGCCTGGAGAATTCTAAAATCTGAATCTATTTATAATCATATACAATGTTATGGTTGTGCAGCGCATACATTGCAGTTATTCTTTCACGATTTTGAACGATTGGACGCCTTCAGTGACCATATTTCAATAATTAAAAAAATTGTTAAATTTTTCAAGAATAAACACATACCAGCTGCAGTATTTTCCCGTAATAAGAATCTTCATGGCATACCATCTACATTAAGTACAATTAGCCAAACAAGATGGGCATCGTCAATAAAATGTATGGAGCAAATTCAAATATGCAAGAAAGCTCTAAAAGCATCAGTTGTTGAAGAAGCTGTTTGTGATAATTGTCCCATAGAAATTACCAATAATATATTAAACGAAGAATTTTGGACGAAAAATTTAAAATTTTTAGCTATACTCCAACCTTTAGCTACCTCATTGTTGAAAGTGCAAGGGGATAAATGTACTTTGGCCCAAGTAAAAAACGAGATGCTTAATTTGGAAAAACACATAATACAATCATGCCATGATTCTATATTTTCTCCATCTCAAGAAAAAAAAATTAAGGTTATGTTTGAAAAGAGAAAAACTGATATAAATACATGTGCTTACAATGCTGCTTATTTATTGGACCCCCAATATCAAGGGGAGCATCTTACTAATACTGAATTTGATAAAGCATGTAATATAATACAAGAATTGGGTATTTTACAAGGTGGTGATAATCAAAATATTTTGAGTAATATAGTAAATTTCAGAAGCAAAAGCGGTATATTTAATAGCCATAATATGTGGAAAGTTGTAACTTCCATAAGAAACAATCAAATTTCGGCCTCAAGTTGGTGGAATGCATTTTGCCCACCTTGCCCATTAAGAGAAGTCGCTAATATTTTACTAACATTTCCTAGTTCGACTTCTTCTTCTTCTTCTGAAAGAAATTGGTCGGTTTGGGGCAATATTCACACGAAAAACAGAAATAGATTAAAGGCTTCTACAGCAGGAAAATTAGTAAGAGTGTATCATAATTTAAGATTGATTAAAAATATTAAAGAAAATAATGATATTGAATATGAATCGGAACAAGACTCTGCCACGGAGGGTGAAACATTGACTATAGAATGAATTAAAAAATATTATGATATTTATTATTATACATAGATTTATTATAATATTATATAAATGCAAAATAAAGTTAATATTGGTGTAAAAAACATTTATTTGAATTTGACCATATTTGACCGGTCAAATATCGGTCAATTGACCGAATTGTATTTGACCGGTCAAATGCACAACCCTGGTCTAAATTATACAATCTATTTAACCCCTATGCCAAGTTTCATTTTAAAAATGGTCGTCCGAATCACTGTTTGATTTGTCATGGAATTACCCATTTATATCATTTTATCTATAAATGATTTGTATAAATCTATGGTATAAATTTAATTAACATCTTTTATTTTGACAAAAACAATAATTTAAAAAAACGTCCTTTATTTATTTGGTTATAATTTACAAATGGCTCTGGCACTTTTGTTTAAAAAATTGAAACAAATCGGGTTTGAACTTGATAAAAAATTGAATAGAATAAAAATTTTATAGTTATTTAGAATTGGTGGTGCAAATTTTCTTTACCACACAAGAGAAAACAATGAAAATCTTTAAATTTGGTTTTTTTGTTTTAGAGCATAAAAAGATTTACTTAAATGCCCAAATATTTTTATTTTTTTCTTATTGGAGTAAATAAAATAGGCATTATCAATCTCAAACTACCCACAAAGGTTATTTACATAAGTCTCAAAAATTATAGATGATAAAATTATCAAAGAATCTATGGAGGTAGGCCTAACTGGCCCCAAAGCCACACTCGGGGGCCAGGAAAAATATTTCAGGACCGAGAAAATTGTTTAAATTATATTTCGAGCCCGGCCGAAACTTTATAAATGTTTTTTTACAGATAATTAGGCAAATTCACCCTTTATTAAAAATTATCACGGGCCGGGCCGGACAATATTTATAAAATGCCAGGTAAAAATAATAACAGGTAGAAGTAAAATCCCGATAAAAAATAACACGGGCTGGTTTTGGGCCACGCCGATCTCTAATAGGCATATGTTTCTTTTTATATTTGCAAAAATAAATTATTTACTATCTATACACACAGGTAGGCCACCTTTTAGACGCCCTCGAGACCTTCGGTTTAGCTTCTAATACTTTCGTTTATTTTACCTCAGATCAGGGTGGGCACGTCGAAGAAAAAGGACTAGACGGTCAACGGGAAGGAGGTTTTAATGGGAAGTTTAAAGGTAATATGTTAATTCTAAATGATATCCGAATGATTTCATAAATGAATATTGATATCTATATTCTAGCATAATATATGTCTTTATCACGTATTATAAGATAATTTAAAAATTCATCTCACCTCTGTTTTTTTAATTTAAACTGTGTAGACATATCCCTCAAATAAAATAATTGTTCTAATATTTTAGATTAATTATAATAAATGTAACTTCTTAAATGGTCATATAATAAAGTTATGCCCGATTTTTTTTTAAATCTCAAAATTACTCAAAATATTTAAAAAAAAACTATTAAAGGTGGTAAAGGACAAGGCGGCATGGAAGGTGGCATTAGGGTGCCGGGAATTATAAGATACCCTCCTTTAAAAAATAATACTAACCCAGAAATTTCCATTCCGACCAGCCTCATGGACTTGTGGCCTACCATAGTTAACTTGGCTAAGCCTTCAGTTTTGGGTAATAATCAATCAGAAGTGAATTTAACTATAATTAGCTATGGAAATGTTGAATACTTTGAAGATATGAACGAAGAAGATGATATCGAAATAAATAAAACGGATTTTCCCATGGTTGATGGGAAGGATTTATGGCCATTACTAACTTCTAAATCATCAACTCATCATCACCAATTTCTCTTCCATTACTGTGGTACAGAAATCCACGCCGTTAGGTATATGCCTGAGTCAGGTAACTAAAAATTTTATGAAAAGATAAATGAAATTGGTTAAATTATAATTCAAAGCAAAAAAATTTTTAACCCATTTGAATTTTATAATTAAAGGGTCAATATTCCTTTTAATATATATTTATTATTTTCCGTCTAAAATTCTAAACCCAAATCAATAATATGTTTGACCCGATAATTAAAAATATTTTCAGACTGGGTTGGGCCTCATAATAATATTTTGATTTATATGAGTAAGTGAAATGGCAGTATTTTTTTAAAAAAAAGAATTACTAAAAATAATATATTATAAAAATTAAGCCTAAATTTATGTCACATTTTCGAATTTTGTTTACAACTTATATAATAATCATGAAATTTATACATTTCCAGCAGTTTATGATTGCAGAGTAATTTTATTTATTATTTTCTCTTCTCCCATCTTATCTTGATTTTTATTCTAACGTCAAAAAATTATCTTAAATGGAACTTAATTTCTTAGAAAATAGAATATGGAAAATTTACTACATCACTCCTCGATGGATAGAAGGTACACAGGGTTGTCATTACATATGTTTTTGTTACGGTTCTCGCAATATTATCAAGCACAACCCCCCTTTGCTATTCGAATTAATTAGCGATCCTTTCGAAGATACATGCTTAACTCCACATTCCTCTCATCATTTTTTATCTCCATCTTCTTCCTCGCGACGCGTAATAATTTTCGAATATATATAGACTCATCCATTCTTCTTTTTTTTTGTCACAGAATTAAAAATTTTACGCTCAGATTATATATTTAAACTTTATTGATGCATGAATATGATAGTTTAACTTTATAAACGTTTTCTTGAAATTTTTTTTAGGCAAAATGTTTGATATTTCGAATTGGGTTAAATATAAAAACCTGAAAATTTCAATGATACAATGACATCGCTATTTGCATTCAAAATCTTGCTCAGTTTCCCTAATTTAATATAGCATACTTACAAACATTCGATTACAATTTTTTTTAAAAAAATATGCGAATTTTTATACTCTTTATATGGTAAGCGGAAAATAATTCCCGGAAAAAAATTCCCGGAAAATAAATCCCCGGAAAAAAAATCCCCGGAAATTAATTCCCCGGGAAAAAATCCCCAGGAAAATAATTCTTTGGAAAAAAAATACCCGGAAAATAATTCCCCAGAAAATAATTCCCAGGTAAATAATTCACCGGAAAAAAAATCCCCGGAATAAAATCCCCCTGGAAAATAATTCCCCGGAAAAAATTTCCCCACTATATATTGAATTGCTACATTGCTAAACTGCTTTGCTAAAAAGCAATCAATCATAATCAATTATAAATCAATCAAAAATTTATTACGTATATTTTTTTAATGATAATTTTTTAAACTTTTTTAAAAATATATTTAAATCATTTTTTTATTATAAATGAAGAATACTGATTAAATGATATAGTATATAATTTTATTTTTATTTAATATTATTAGTAAGAAATTTATTTTTCTAGCTTATTAAAACAAATATACATTTTATTCAATTTTAAAAATTAACAAATATATATCCGTAAGAGGGCGTTATATGTTTTAATATGTATCATTTTAGGAAACGGAATGATGATTGGATAGCACTTTTTTTTATATTTGGGTATATATACATATGAAAAACCTAAAAATTAAAAAAAATTTTTAGGTTTCTTTAATGTTTAATTTATGAGTAGGTTTAGAATAGTAAAACAATGGAAATTTTCTAAAGTAAATATTGCTGGCGTTATTTATCAAAATCTCTTCATTTTTGTTTTATACGTGTATATTTACGTGCTAAGCATTATCCTAAAAAATATTTTGAAAATAATTTTTTGGGATTATGTTTTATATGTATTTATAGATATATAAAACAAAAATGAACAATTTTCAAATTATATTACTAGTAAATTTGAATCTAGGAAAATAATTCCCCGGAAAAAAAATCCCGTGACCCAGATCTGCTCTGCAGTATTTAATTAAATAGAAATGTTTTTTAAAGTCAAATTTCTTCGAGGATTTGAGAATTTAAATAATAAAACGAAAGTTAAATAAATCTAGTTCACCTTTACACACTTTCATCAACTTTTAGGTATTTATTGAAAAATTATTTTTACACAAATTTTAATCATTTTTTTAGAAATATGATAAAAGGCTTTTCACAGTTTACTGACTCTTAAATAGCGCCCACTTTTGTTTTTACAAGGATAAACTATTAAATAATATAATTTAATAAATTTTGTGGCGAAATAGGAAATTAGCAATTCAATCTGATACCCTCTATTTGATAAAAATTATTTTACTGAAGTATTTACCTACTTTAAGAATTTAACTGACTGAATACAAAATCACTATAAAACTTGCAAAATTATATTTTTTACTGCCCAATTTTAATTAAATACTGCCAAAAGTAATGAAAATGCTGACCACTTTAATCAAAATACATCCAGAGGTGATTATCAGCAGTGAGTATTATATTTTTCTAATCTAACAATTATTATTTTGCTTATGAATTTTTTTCAAAAGTTACAGAAAAGAAATAATTATAATTTTATTAAATGATATATAGAATAATAATTATATTATTCAAAAGAAACAATTCTAGAACGTATATGTTCTCCAATTGAAGAGAGAAAATTGGGCAAGTCCCTTCTCTCTTCTAAATAATCAATGCATAAATTTTTTAAAATAGTTTGTTTCGTTGCATAAATACGATTTTTTTTGGGAGTGTATGTCCCAATATTCCATTGGCCGATTTTTCCCATATCAACCGCTATTTCCATCCTTATTTTTTCGAGTAGTTCCCATATCTTCGGTTTTTTGTTGCCTACAATATGCTTAAATCGGTTATTCCATCCTTCACAGTTTGTTCGATTTTCCCCAGCAATCGTAACATTGAACACATTCCATGTTTCTGGTGGGAACAATGGCTCTACTTGCCTTTGAGAGTTTTTCCCATGTCTCAATTCTCCATTCACATAATTTTTATCAAAATAAAACAATAATTCTTTGTATTCATCCGATACAATGGTTTTTAAATACTCCATACCTCGTTTGACATCGTGTATAGGTAAGAATGCTAATCCATCGATCATAGCTGCAAATAAGCATAACACTGGATCATTCCGATATGATGATTCTAACCCCAATTCCTGAATCTTTCTATGAGTTGATTGAGTTAGATGATAAAAACATCCTTGGATGTTGATATCTCTACCTAAAAGTTGAAAAAATATAGATTATTATGTCTTTATCAATTTTTATTAATTACACTGTGTGACAAGAAAAATGGGAGAAAAAATAAATAAAAACAAGTTTTGGTGCAGAATTTGACATTGAGTTAGAATTCGTTTTCTAAGTTTTCCCTTCACGTCAAGTTTTAAAAATATTATCGTATAAAGGCAACTTTTCGAAATCTCAAAAATGGTAAAATTTAGGTCTTTATACGGATATATTTTAAAAAGTATCAAATGAAAATCCCTGAAAATTGGTGATAGTGTTAGACTTATATTTCCTTATAAATTTATTAATTTTTATAATTTTTTATCGATTGCTTTTTGAGAAAAATGGTAAAGAATTTCGTTTTGGGGGTCTTAAGTTTTCAATTTAAATTCCCGGCAAGAATCGTATAAATATGTTGGCGGACTACTGCTGGACTATCTTTTTTGAAAATAAATCATCAACTTCATATTCGCGGAAATATATTTAGATTTACCATTAAATGTTTTTAAATTCGATAAATTTTAAGTTATTGTTTAATTTGTTTTAAATTCAATAAGTTTATTGTATATTACAAGTTAAATCCTATATAATAATGAAGGAGGGGGTGAGACAACAGACCGATAAAAGGTTTATTAAAAATAAAATATGAGATAGGTTAGCTTAGCATAATATATTTATTTAAATATGAGAAATGTAACTATTTCATTTAAAATAAATTGTTTGGGAATCATACCTTGTGCAGTGTAGCGAAGAGAACGAAAGCCACAATAAATATATTAAATGTAAGCTATATTAAAAAAGAATCTAGAAAAATAATTCCTCGGAAAAAAAATCTCCGTTTATAAGATAATTAAAATTACAAAATTAATAAATTAGGAGAAAAAATTCCCTATAAATAAACCAACGAAATAATAATTCTCAAATAAAATATTTAAAAATTTTGATAAAATTAATTCTGAAGAATTATTTTCTAAGAATTTACTGTCTTAAAACATGTTTATTTTATTTTCTCCCAAAAAATCAAGTCAAAATTTGTCACACAGTGTTACTAGAAATGGGTTCGTTCATCCTACACTCATAAAAAAATCGTTTAAAATATTCTTAAAAACAACAGAAAAGGGAAATTAGAATTAAAAAAAATTTCAAGTTCCACGGTCCAAAATACATTTTAAAATCAAGGTCCTAGCATATCTAGATAGTATATAGATGTAATTAAATCGTAAAAAGAAACCTAGAGTATTTTCGACGGCATTGATTGCAGCCTTTTCAAAATCCATAAAAATTGTTATCGGATCTATGACTAAATTCCGTTCTTGGGCTTTTTCGAGTAAAATCTTAAAAATTTCTTCATATGTTGTATACGTTTTTCTTTGTAACAAGAAATATGCCGCTGTTATAAACAGTGTTTTAAAGGGTATTCTAATTACATATAGCTGCAAAAATAAATGAGGAGCCAATTTAAAATTCCCGTCTATATACCAAGTTTTCGTTTCGGCTAGCATTTTAAGCATATAATCGGTGGCAAATATAATTATCCGTTCATTAGAATCTCCGCCATTATCATGCAAAAGAAATCTCTCATTTGTGGGAGATCCGGTTGTAGCCCACTCCTCTAATATTAAAAGATATTTCCAATTAAAAGTTATTTATAGATAAATATGATTTAACCTGAAATGCTTAATTCTTCCAATGTGGCCGGAATAGGAGGAAACCTTTTTATTTTGCGATTTCTAAGTGTCCTCTTGATACTCTCTTCCGGAAGTCTTTTTCTGGAATCGGGAGACAATTTATTGATTGCTTTTTAGCAAAGCAGTTTAGCAATGTAGCAATTCAATATATAGTGGGGAAATTTTTTCCGGGGAATTATTTTCCAGGGGGATTTTATTCCGGGGATTTTTTTTCCGGTGAATTATTTACCTGGGAATTATTTTCTGGGGAATTTTTTTCCGGGGAATTATTTTCCGGGTATTTTTTTTCCGGGGAATTATTTTCCTGGGGATTTTTTCCCGGGGAATTAATTTCCGGGGATTTTTTTTTCGGGGATTTATTTTCCGGGAATTTTTTTTTCGGGATTTTTTTTCCGGGGAATTATTTTCCGGGATTCCTTTATATGCCCCATCTAGTCTTAGAATAATAATAATGTAATTCTTGACTCAAATATTTTTTTACATTTAAAGGTAAATAATAAAGATAAAGAAAATGAGCGCAAGACATTGTCTCTCGAGTATTACGAGGTATTGGGAAAGGTTGAAAGAGCTATCAAAGATCACAAAAAAAGTATTGTGCCGGTTCCTAGCCAATTTTCAGCCAAAAATACTATATGGAAACCATGGTTACAACCTTGCTGCAATCCTCCCTGGTGTCATTGCAAACAATGAAATAAAAATCAGGAATGAATTGTGATAATTGTATTAATTCAAATAAAAAATTATTTAAAATAATTTCGCTTAAAAGAAAATCGTCGCGAGGATGAAAAATATGATTAACTAACTGCCTGACAATTATTTTTTAACATTTAAAAGTTATTAAGAAAACCAATTTAATTAAAATAAAAATAAAACGATCCCTTTTTGTTTCAAATTATTTATAAAATGTCAACTTTTTCTAGTCAATGAAACACTCAAGAATATACTCGTTACATTTTATGCAGGATTTTTTTAAAAAATAAAATAATGATAAAGTATCGCTCAATTTTTATAGGTTTGGTAAGAAGCTTTTATATGAAATTAACGCTAAAAATATTTTTAACAGCCAAATCGACATTCCTTTATGATTAATTTATGGACAAAAACTTTTGTTATGTTTTTTAAATGTATTTAATTTGCTCATCAAATTTCTCAAAAAAATATTTTATTGTACATAAAAATGGATTTATATCAAACGTTTTATGTATTATTTTATAATTAAATATTCTATATAATGTTTTTTTATATCTTTATAAATATATGAAAATAAAAGTATATAGCAAAAATAAAATCATATATATCAATGTTGCATCTTTATCGTTTAGTTATTTCTTTTTTTTAAATGCATATAATAAAAGAAATATAATTTTGTAGATATACTAGATCTAATTTTTTTTACCAGTGCCAGATTCTATAAAATTTTAATTCCCCAGCCAGATCTATCGGATCTTAGAAAAAAATATTCATTAACTCTTCTTATATATAAAAGCCAGTGTTGTTAAACGCTACTTTTAAAAGTAGCGGGCTATCGCTACCGCTATTTTATAAAAAAAATAGCGCGCTATCACTATCGCTATCGTTTTCAAATGAGTAGCACGCTATTAGTTACTTTTTACGCTATTTTGATTTTTTTTTAAATTTTTTTACATTTCTTTATTTCCACAAATAAAATATTGGTATAAAAACATGACTATAATTTGTTACATATATATATATATAATTTATTTAATATTGCACTTTATAATAATAACATTCTGTACTGTCATCCCCAAGTCTAGAGCGACGATCAGAAAGTATAAGCTTTGCCAAATAATCGTTCAGCACTAGCACTTGAGGAAAACGCAGTATTAAATTTAATAAACACACTTTTTATATGAAAAAAATCATCAAAGATATTTAAATGAGTATTTTTAGATTTAAAAAAATAATCTAGAGGTTCAATAATATTATTTATTATAAAAAAATCGTCTATGGAAGGCCGCGGTTTTGATCTTGCTATAGTATTAGTATCGTGGTTAGGCAAGGCATTTTTTAATGTTACCATCAGCCTATCAAGTTGCCATTTAGATTCAGTCAAATTAATGTATAGCCAATTTAACTTGAAACTAGGATGAACGATAGCAGATATTACATTATCATCATCATACAGATCTGGAAATCTAATTTATATAAAGCGATTGTATTTTTATACAAAAAGAAGAATACCTTTTTAATTTTCAAAATTTAAATTTATCTGAGATTTAGATTCACTTATAAAAAAATATTAAAATAGCATTAAATTATGGTAAATAAAGAAATTTTGAATTTTGTATTAATATTATAGACTAATATTATAGATTGAGTTGTAAATTAAGCCAATTTAAATTATGGCTAATCAAGCAATAAATCATTCATTTTATACAATTGTATAATAGAAAATAAAAATAAAGTTTTGACCTTTTCTTAATGCCTTTTAGCATAGACTCTACAAGTGGTTGGCAAAATTTTCTTGCATCGAAACCGATATCCAGTAGTAATTTTTTCTTCAAGATTAAAGTATTTTTTGAATTTTGGGAAAGGATAATCTAGATTTTTCTCATTTTCCAAAGAAATTTCACTATCTTCAACAATCTCACACATTTTTAATAACTAGATTTATAATGCTAACTAGATTTATAATGTATATTTTAATATAAATTTCAATTTCAAAACTAAATAAAATAAAAGGATTATAATTTTTGATTTAATAAAAAATATATTTTAATAATTTTTAGATTGTATTTATTATGTAAAATTGAAAGTAGCGAAGCGAGCTACCTCTATCGCTATTTTCTAAAAAAAAGTAGCCAGCTAAAGCTACCGCTACTGAAAAATGTAGCGCGCTATTTTAACAACACTGATAAAAGCAAGTGTTGTTAAACGGCTCAATTTAGCCTATTTTAAATTAAGATTTTAACCAATTACACAAGCCTCTAGATTTCGTTATTAGATACCCAAATCTTTCTGTCACCTATGAGCAAAATCTCCAGATTGGCTAAAATATTGGGTTAACCGTTTTAAAAAATAAAGCCGTTAAACACTAATATATTGAATGTAAATTTAATTCAATAAAAATATTGAATTTGATATGATTAAAGATATTACAATGATAATTATTATTCATAAAAGATTTCATTGTAAATTTAAATTAATTTATCAAGTAAATTTAAATAAATAATGATAGGTTAAATTCCTAAGTACCCGAAATATTTTGTTTTATTAATTTTTAATAAATTAATTTAAATTTACATAAAATCCGTGATTTACGAATAATATTTTAATTTATTAGCCTATTTTCTACCTTAGAATAAATATAATTCATATTATTCAATATTTTATTTATATAGGAATAATTTATTTTTATTGTATGTTGTAACCATGCTAAAGTATTAAATTGACTAGTAAGGTACCACAATTTTTTTAAAAAGTCGAAATCTACCACCAGCGTCTACATGAGCGGGAGGGGTAGGAACAGTTTGCATCCAATTTTTTGGAGGGGGTAGGCGGCTTTAATGGGGGTAGGATAAATTTTTAGGGGGTTATCTATTGAATTTTGAGACAAAATAGGACAAAATTTATTGCTGTAAAAATTAATAATTTTATTATAGAACTATTATAATACAATTCATCGACCAAATCTATATATTGCAAACAATCATACACATTGTTTTCCAAATAAAACTTTCTGCTATCCTTTAAAATTACATTTAAAAGGTTTAGATATTTCAGCAAGCTCATGTTATAATAATGAATTCATTGTAAATAATGGAGGATTTAATTGAAATTTATTATCTAAAAAAGAAATCCTTTATATTCACAAAATATCGATAGTTGGTAGTAGAGATAGATTAATTTAAGTTATCCTTTATAAATTCTCTGAAAAGAGTATCATTATAATTAAAAAGGTGAAAATAATAATGGGGAAATATCGCCGCCGAAGGTGGCGGGATTTTTTAGGGGGGTAGGTAAAGGTTTTCGAAGGGGGTTTGCATCCAGTGAAAATCCTGACATGTAGACGCTGTCTACCACACTCAACTACCTCAATTCTACCACATGGAATTATGAAATATACCCTCAAAACCCCCGCAAATTTCCCTCATTTAAAAATCATGTTTTGAAAATTTTTAGATAAAATCATCATGTATTATGCCTAAAAAAATTCAATTCCCTTCTGATCTGATAACCAATAAAAAGTCTAGATTTTAAATAATTAGCGCCATATTATCTAATTTATATAAATTTTAAATTGATAAAACAATCATTAAAAACTTTTTATGACAAATAATTAATATTCTTATAAAATTCAGAATATCGATTATTTAAAGAAATAGTAGAAATACTACACATCATTTAAAAATAAACGAAGTAGAAAGTGTCATTCATGAGTGGCGTTTTATTTTATATATCATTTTGGTATATATGTTTTTGTTTGTAAATTCATTATATTTATTTTTTATCACGCGCAATAATTTAGTTTGTTAACATTGGCGCATTGGTTTGGCTTTGGATTGAAAGACTCATGATGAGTCATGTTATTTGTATTTGTAAGAATTATTTTTTATTTCTCATATTATAACGTATAAAAGGCCGTTTTCGGCAGATTATTCATTATTATTGTTTTTATTTTGAATTTAATAAAATCATTTTACCCGAACTGTTTGTGTGAAGAAAAATAAATTTCAGCAGCATAACTGCAATAATTGGTGCCGTGACCTAAATAGTAAGTTTTTATATTTATATTTTTTTAGGTTAAAAAAAAACTTAACGTTTGTTAAGGGCACAATGGGTTAACTGTGGTATTCAATTGTATATTTGTTAAAGGCACAAGGGTTCTGTGGAGTATTTTTTTGTGGAAATTCGGTGGAGTACCGTGGTTGTGTTAAAGACACAGTGGTTCTGTGGAGTATTTTTTTTTGTGGAAATTCGGTAGAGTACCGTGGTTATTAATAGTGATTGTAAAAAATTGTAAAGTGGGTTACAGCGTTGCTAAAAAGGGTGTTATGTACTAGAGATCTGCAAAGTTAGGCCTAGCCCGAAACCCGTTCGAGCTGGGCTCGGGCCTAATTCGATTTAAAATAATCGGGTTCAAGCCGGGCCGGGCCTAATATTTTTAAAAAAATTTCGGGCCAGATCGGGTCGGACCTTGGAAATTTTATTAAATATATCTAAATTTATCAATTTTATGTTGAATTTTTTATGTAAAATAAAAATTTTTGATTTAATTTATCGAAACTAAACGCTATATAACATTTGTCTTTTATTTTAAGTAATTATAAAAATTAATTTCTATATTTAAATAAATTCGGGCTTGGCCGGGCCGGTAAATTTTTTAAAATAAATTTCGGGCCGGGCCGGGCTGGCAAAACTTTTTAAAAAAATTTAAGTTCGGGCCGAGCCGGCTTTTAAACAAAATTTCGGGCTGGGCCGGGCTTGAAAAATTAGGCCCGATGTATGTACTGTTGTATTATTTCGGTATTCATTTTATTAATTTTAATCATATTGTTTAACGTTGCAAATAGTTAATTATAGTTAAGTTACTTATATTCTTTTTGTAGGTAATATTTTGAGAGATTTTATTTTTGTTAGAATATTTGTAAAGATTAATTAATTTAGAGATAAAATAAGGTAAAAAAAATTTCCAATCATTTTAATTATTTTGTTAGTTAGGGTTTTAAATTAATTAAATATGTTGAAGTACTTATAATATACTGGGAGTAGTAGTGATATCTCTTATTTGGTTGAGAGATAGGAGAGAGCGCCGGAATAGGAGTATTAAAATACGTGGGCAGACGTTGTTGAGTGTAGGACACAACGGTGAAAGAGGATAGGTATGTTAGGGTTACCTGTTGCCTGTGCAGGAGATGTTGCAAGTATGGGTGAGTAATGAGAATTTAAAATTGAGCGAGGATGGAAAAGGAGGTTGAGGTGGAGGAATGGGAATATAAAGAGGTCATAGAGAATTGACACGGTCGTTTAGGAGAGAAGGTCCGAAGGATAGAAATATTGTGTGTTTTAAATGTGGTGTAAAAGTTCACATAGGGATTAACTTTCAGGTTATTAAATGTTTTGAG